CGAAAGCGCCGTCGCTATAAGCTAAAAAGTAAGTTCAATTAATTAATAAATTGATTCTTAAGTACAATTACTGATTTATATAGCTATTGCGTTAAGAGAGATCCGACGATACTAAAAAAGCATCGAGCTTTTTATTAAAAAGACTTCTTTTTAGCGTTTTGTTCGAAAGATTACTTACGATTTTAAATAAGACTTTAAATTTTAAAGCGGTGCTTTAGAATGTTTATAAAAAGCTTTAAAGGCATTCTTTGTAAAAGAGTTTGAAAGTAAGTACTTATATATTTATTTATTAATCGATTTATTAATCGATTTACTAATCGATTTACTAATCGATTTACTAATTACTTTTAATAACGAACTTATATGCTATTCACGCTAAACGAATAACGATTTAAAATAAAAATATAGCGTTAGTTAAGAAATTGCGAGAAATCATAACTAAAAGTTTTATTTAATAATTTTAGTTTATTATAATATAATGCAATGTAATTGTAAAGTATAATATATGTGATTAATAAATATAATAAATAAATATAATGATTAAATAAAATTAATAAATATTCGTAAATTTGTTTTATTTTTAACGGCCTTATATATATTATTTTTAGCTGTCTTACTTTAAACCTATAAGGTTTCCTTATCCTTCGTAAAGAATTTGACTTAAAAAAATCCTCTTTATAAGGTTTAAAAAAAAAAGTCCTTTATCGGCCAAGACCCTATAAGGGGAATGGAGAAGAAAACCCCATAGGGCCCCCACCCCATGGAGCAGCCTAATCGCTTTTTATAATATAAAACTCTATTTAACTTAAAAGTGTTTTTAAAGTAACTGCTTTAATAGAAGTAATAGAGCCGATGCTGTATTTGACGGACTTCTCTTTTGCTCGAGATATATCTAATTAAACCTCGAAATACCTTTTTTAAAGTGCTTGTAGCTAAAGCAAGCTAGCGGTAAAGAAATTAGCTGCTCCGTTATCAATTATAAGGCTTATAAATACGTTTTTAAAGTACTTAAAAGCTATGTAAGTCTTTGCTTTGCTCGCGAGCATACGCGGATCTTGCTCGAGCATCTTTTAAGTTTCTACTTAGCTAGTAAAAGCGTAGAATGCCGTTTGAATCTCTAGTTATTTGTATACTTCGTTAGCGTTAAAAGTGCTGTAAGTAGTTACAAAACCTTCCGATATGTTAGCGTAGCTGCCCGATTCGAGCGGCTCGTTTAATAAGCTTGCGATAAACTAATCGAATTCTTTCGTAGATATAAATAGCAAACCTTCGATTAATATTACGTATTAAAAGAATTTGCTTTTCGTTACTCTTTTTGCGTCTTTAAAGCTTTAGAACTTAGCGACGGATGCTTTACGCTCGTCGAAAGTATAGTTAATGCTTTAACAACTTAACTTTTTGCAAATAAAACACTTTTTTTTACTTTTAATAGCTTTAGCAGCTTTCTTACTTCCGAAGTATTAGCGGTCTTAAATAAAGCATTCGTATTCCTCGTCCAAATCGAAGTCAGCTTTTAAAGTGTGCTAAAAGCAAATGTAATCGTATAGCTCGCTAAAGCTCGCGTAAGCTTTACTCGCCTTAGCGAATCGGAAGGTCTTAATTGCAAACGCAATTGCTCGGCGGATATCGGCAATTGCAACGATAAAAGTAAAAGCAAAGTTTATCCGCGCAATAATCGTCTTTAACACGTTTTTATAAGCCGAATATAGCTTATCGGCAAAACTCTTATCGTCTTTTAGACTTGGTCGTAATAAGCTTTGAATTCCCTTAAGCTTCTTAGCGAGCTTTTTAAAGCATTCGCTAAGCGAGGTCTTTAGATTCTCTTTCTTAATTAAATCTAACGAAATTTCTTTTTAACGGTCGTATTTTGCTTGCCGCCGATAATTAATCTTAAAATAATCTTTTATCGTAATAACATTAGCTTTAAATATCGAGAGCTTAGCTTTGATCATATGATTGTAATAAAAGATTATAGCTTTCTTTATAAGCATAATCGGGAATGCTATTAAATAGTCGTTTAAAGTTAAGCCGTATCGACTTGTTTAATTAGCAAAAATACTTAATTAAGTCTTAAAGTTATCGTCGGGTCTCGAATACTTTAGCTTTTTAAAAAAGCTTCTTGCAAACAAAGCTAATTCTTTTGCTCTTAAGTAAAGGTCTGCTGCTTTTAGCTTAAAGAAATCGTCTTTATTATCGTCAAAAGCGCTTAAAATGCCGTACGCAAGCGTGCTTTATTTAGCTAATAATCTAATCGGTAAAGGGTTACCGATATAATTGCCGATAGTCCGTCTTTTTCCAAGGTCTTTAAAAAGCTTATTTCCGAATCCGAAGTCTTTTAAAAGTCCGTTTCCGAATCCTTTTAATAGTTTAAAAGAGCCGTTCCTACCTCCTCCGTATCCGTGTCTTCGATCTTTTTACTAATCTCCTTCGTTCTTTTTTCGTCGGTTATTATTAAGATCGCTAAAGCTATTCGAATTATCGGCTAAAGCTTTAGCTTAATAATATTCGTACTTTTAAGCGCGCTCTTAGCGATTCTTATACTTTTAATATCTCTTTTATCGATACGTAGCTTATTAAAAGATCTAAAGAGCTTGTCGATACGTTCGAAAGTGCTAGATCCTTTTTTCGAGTTGCTAAAGTTAAGCACGGAAATCTATACGCTATTTTTAATAAGAGCTGATTTTGTTCAAAATGCTTTTAAGTTTTAACGAGTCCTTTTTTAGCGTATAACTCTTATAGCCTCGATTATTATTTAGTCTGATAATAATCTTAAGACCGTTTTTGTTGCTATTCGGTCTTGGCTTTTCGAAAACCCGGCTATAGCCTTTAAAAAAAGGATTTAAAAGCCGTTAAAGTGATTTTAGCTTTTTTTATATAATTAGCGTATTACGTAGCGATTAATGAATTGAAAATGAATACGTTAAAGTACTTCGCCGTAGTTTTTCGTTAGATTATATAACGTAAGTCCGTAATTCCGCTATTTGCTTTGCTATAACTTTTATATTTCGTTTTATATCTCTTTTCTTTTTTAAAAACTCTTTTCGTAACTTTTAAACTTCTTTTCTTTTTTCCTTCCTGCTTAAAGTCTCTTTTTCCTTCTTTTTTAAGCTTCTCGAGGGTAAAAGTAAAAGCGGTTAAGGTGTAATATCTTCGTCGTCCGTAAGGTTTTCGGCGGTCCACTTTGATTCGAGACTTAAAGGTGTTGCTTATTGCTCTTTTACTTCCTTAAGGGTCTATTAGTGCTGCTGCTCGTCGTTTAAGAGCTTGACCATTCTATTAACGTAACCTCTTTGCTTTAAAAAGCATTACACGCCTTTAGATAGCAAGTGTTCCTTAAAGTCGATAAAAGTAGCAAACTTAAAGCCTCGTCTTATATTATCTTCCGTTATCGTAAAGCTCGTTTAATTTTAGCGTAAAAAAGCGTGCCGGAATAAGCTTTATAAATCGTAATCCTTTAGCCTTTTATACTTCGCATTTAAAAAGTCCTTTACTATTGCTCGGGCCGTAATCTTATTGTCGGGCCTTACGTATAGTAGCTCGTTTAAGTCAAATAAGATGCCCGATATCTCGTCGTTTAGCCTTTTCGAGAAGCTTAAGAGTCTTGAGTATAATGTTTCTTTTAATTGAATAGCTAAGGGTTCCGTAGGTAATGATAAGACTCGAAGGGTATAATACCCTACTGCTCCTTATCGACTGGACTCCTTACCTAAAGGTCTAGTTGCTCGGTCGGCCATAGTTATTGTCTGTTTATATATAGGTCGATCCAAATTTAGTTAGGTTGCTATATGTAGCAAGCGCGGCTCTTATAGCGTTGTTGTTTTGAAAATGACTTGGTTCGGAATCAGTCTTCCGTAAAAATAAAGAATTCGGTAGTTGTGACGACCTTAAGCGATTACCTGAAGGAACTCACGGGAGCGCGGGGGTTCATATAGGAGCTCAGGAGAATCTCAAAGTAATGACTTAGAATCAACAATTACCGAGTGTAAAGGTCGAAGGTAGCTGAGGTCTATATACACGAAGGTAGGAGCGCCAAGGACTCGTGAACCATGGTTCATGGGTCAAAAGCGGGGAATGAGAGAATACAAAGAATACGAAGGAAAAAAGGAGGGGAGTAGCTTGGCGCATGTGAGGTGCGTCCAGGAGACCTGGCGTGTCGTCACAGTAGTATAAGTAAGCGACTTAGTACGAAATCGTTCTTCCGTTATAAAAGAAAAGAAGTATCGTAATAATAAGGTATCCTCGCTATAAAGTCCTAGCTTCTCTATGATTAATCACTTAATAGTAAATCAATTACTAATCAATATTAAATTGCTTCTAAGCGATTAAGAATATATATTCGTAAGGTCGTAACGTTCGTCAAAGTACTTGCAATTGCAAAACACTCGGTTAATAAAGTATCTGAATTCTATCACTCGGTTAATAAAGTATCTGAATTCTATCTGCTCCCTAAGACTTAAAGGAGCTGATTCCTTTTATAAGATTAAAAGAAATCACGTGCACTAGCTAACTAATAGGCCTACTTGTCAAGTTAAGAGTCCTTTGACTACTGGCATGCTAAGCGAGGCATGCCAAGTGGCCCGTGAACCATGGTTCACGGGTGAGCTTCCCCAACTACTACTACTAGCTAGCTAAGGTCGATATGGAGATACCGACACTAAGCTTAAAAGAGCCGCGCAAACCCGGCAATCGATTAAGCTTATTTAAGCTAAGCCTTAATAAAAAGAGTCCTTTTATTAACGGCCGGCGAAAACGCAAACATTTATTAATTTAATTAATAAGGATTAATAAAAGATATAAAATATACTTACGCTTATGCTTTATTATAAAAGTAAGATCGGTTTAAAGCTTATAAAGCGAAAGGTAATAAGTGGCGTAACAAAAAAAAGCACGGCGGCGGCGAAAAATATAAAAGCCGAAGCGAAGCTAAGAGCCGAGACGCTAATAAGAATCGATAGCGCGAAAAAGACGAAAAGAAAAAAAAAAGGCGAAAGATCATTAGCTCAATTATATCGTCGTCGTTTTCGAATCTATATATATATATATTATTAGCGTAAGTAGCTCGAATGTATTACTTCATCTTAAGATAATTTATATTACGAGCTTAAAATCCTTTATCACTTTATCTTTTATCACTTCATCTTTTTTTACTTTTTTTTCAACTTCTCTTACTATTAAGTCTATAGCAGAAAAAAGGAAAGAGAAAAAAAAAAGCAAAGCAGCAGCGAAGACGGCGAGGACGGCGAAAACGGCGAAAACGGCGAAAACGGCGAAGACGGCGAGGACGGTATAAAAGAGAAAAGAGAAAAGAGAACGAAAGATCATTAGCTCATTCTTATTATCGTCGTCTTGATTAAATCTATATATAATATTAACGTAAGTAGTTAAAGTGTATCACTTATCACTTACATCGCAAGCTCAACTAAAGCAACAAGCAAAGCAATAAGCAAAGCTTATTAAAAAGAAAAGAAAGGGTATAAAAGCAGCCACTATTATTTGCGAAATAGTTGTACTTGCCGCTTATAAGCCGGATCCGGCCGACCTACCCGCCTTATATAAGGTCCGTCTCGAAAGTTGCGCTAGCGAAGTAAAATCATATTGCTAATATAGTTGTAATTATAGCTAAAGTTAAAGTTAAGGTTAAGGTTAATATTAATATTAATATTAATATTAAAGTTAAGATTAAAGTTAAAGTTAAAAAGAATATTTAAGTTATAATAAATATTGAAAAGTGACAGACGAATTTACCTTTTAAAAAGGTCCGTGCTTAACCAAATTCTTACACTTGCCGTATTCGTCGGTATAGCAGTATATCTATACAATATTTTATATAATAGCTTATAACTCTTATAGCTCTTATAACTCTTGTAACTTTTATAACTTCTATAACTTTTATAATATAAGTAAATTTTCGCTCTTGCTAAATCTATCGGCTTAACATACATAATCATACAAAATTATCAAGTTATAAAAGTTATAGAAATTATAAAAGTTATAATTGATTCGGCGCAATTAATCGTATAATATAAATACATTATTTACCCTTAATCAATTGCTAATAGCTATACAACCCTTTTTAATAATAAACTATTCTTGTATATCCTATAATTCGTTAAGCTTATACTCTTTTATAGCTATCACTCGGTAAGACTTAAGCTCGATCTATTTATAAGCTTTTAAACTCTGCATAACCTTTTTTACACGCCTATCTAATATTTATAAGCGTTAAAAGGTGCGCTTATTACGATAATTATAATGTAGAAGCACCCAAAAAGATGTGCTCACTCGGGCACCATTGTTGCATCCAGGGAGCTGAGGGGGTTCAGGGTAGGCAATGAGCTTGTAGTTTCCGTCTCGGCGATTAAGTAAGGCGGCAAGGTACAGCCTATGATAGCTTCGGAGGACTTGCTGGGTCAAGGAGTACACTATATTGAAGAATGCATTAGTCGGGGCTCCTCTTGAGTCACTGGTCCGAAAGTAATAGAAGTATATTTAGATCTTTTTGTTTATGATAGTAAGGAAGGTTTGGTTGCCGTGCTTGTTATTCAAGAAGAAAGCTCTTAATATAAGCTAAACTTTCGTATAGCTACCCGCATCCAAGGTATTAAGGGAGCTGTTCTTTTAAGCGGTGCCTATTAGGCTAATGCTTTAGTTCAGCTTGTTAAAGGACATCGGCTTAGCTTTGAACTTAAAAGAGCTTAAGCTAAACATTCTCTTGGCTAGAGTACTGCTTTTAATCTTAATAGCGAACATCGATTAGTTGCTCGGGTAAAGCATGAAGTTGTTAAGGGCGTTAGTTTAAAAAGCCTCGATGAATCGATATAAGTTGGAACGGATTACCGTTGTTATAAGGCCTTTCGTAGCTAGCTTAAGGTATTTAGCGTATTCGAAAGTATAGACTTCGTAAAAGACTCTTTTTAACAGGTCGATAGCGGACGGTGAGACTTTGCGACTAAAGCGGAGCTTCGTTTAAACGTCTAAATCAAAGAGTTTTTTAAATCTATCTTTAAATTCTAATACGTTCTTCACTTTTTAAAAGACCTTTATGCAATCGCAATCGTCGTTATTAAAGCTTAAATTAAAGATCTCGGACAATAAAAAGTAGTTTACTACTTTGCTTCTTTCTTTATTTACTTTTATTTAGCTACGACGGTCGAAGAGTCGTAAGATCGCGTTGTTAGAAAATTCGTCTTTTAAAAGCTTGCGGATTTAGCTGACAGCTTTCTTAGTTAATTCCGCGGTAACTTAAAAGGCATTGTCGATGTTCTCGTTTAAGTTCAAGCGGTCGAGGGTTAATTAATAAAAGTCTTAGCAAAAGTTGATAAAGGCTACGTTTATACTTATAAAATCCTTAATCTCGACGAGTTTTAAGCAGCGGTTCGATATAGCCTTAGCCAGTTCGTATTCGAAGCTGTCTTTTTTTTTAACAAGTAGTGCTAATAGCAGCTGGTTCTCGAAAAGGTCGCGTTGCACTTTAAGTCTAAAGGCTGCAAAGGAGCTCGCGTCGATAGACTTGCGTAAAGTGGACATGATCGAAGCAACTAGTTTAGCGTTCGAAGCTTTATTAGCAAAAGATAACGTCGATCTTTAAGATAAGGCTAGTGATAGCGAAAGGCGCGCAATAAGTGATCTAGGCAAAAGGGTATTAAAAGCAAAAGGTTGACTTGGTTTTGCTTCGGTTGTTAAGTCATCTTTTACTCGTGAACTATAGTTTACGAATAGAGTTCCGGATTCGGGTTCCTTTTGCAAGACGAAGCTTTAAGTCTGATTCTTGTCGGCAAATTCTATACGTTCCTTAGGCTCGTCGTATTCGCCTTTTATATTATCGGGAGCCAAAATTAACAAGCTATATAATAAGACCTTTAGTCTTAGCTTTTTTAAAAGTCTTTCGTCAAGAATAGCGATCTTATTCTTCTACTTGGTATTGTTCTTATCTTTTACGGTCTAGTAAGTGAAGTTGATTATCGTAGCATTAAGCTTAATAAACTTGCGTCCTCGAGCTATATTAGTTATAGTCTTTTGAAAGGCGACGTAAGCAATAATATAGTAATTAATGACTTAGATAGCGTAAGCGTTAAGGATGCAGTTCTCTAGAATAACGCCCAGCTAACGAGCGCTGCGGACTAAAGTGCATATAGCTTTAAGGTGGTCGTCATATAGCAATTGGCTTCGAGCGCCGTCGAAGGCTCTTTTGATTCGTTTGTGTCTTTCGGCGTTCTTGTTGCGTAAAGAGTGGATAGCGGTGACTCTGATAATAAACTAGTCGTAAGCCGAAAAGAGGTTCTCGACGTTTATGTTTTTTCTTACGTATTCGGCTCGCAAGAACTGGTCGTATTGCAAGATCAAGTCGTCTTCTTTACTTAATCTATTATTAAAGTCGGAAGTTGCTACTTTAAGCATAGTTAATTAATTAAAATTGCTTATTTAGCGGTAAGTCTAAAAGAACTCATCGAAGGTCTTAGTAATTCGTCTTTCGAACTTTAATTCGAAACTCGATTGTCGGGCTAAAGCAGCTTGCTCTTCGCTTATTAGTGGGCTAAAAAGTGCATCCCGGACAAAGGCCTTTCCTTTAGCGGCGGCTGACTTGAGAAGCATATTTGACTCGTAAACTACGGTTCATAAGCTAAACATAAGATAGCGGAATAAAGCTAGTAGTAGTAGTGATCGATTGAGTGATAATTAAAGTCGTTAGTGTTAGTATAATATTATATAATTATAAAGAAAAGGTGGTAGTAGTATTGTTATAGTTATTATTATATAAAAAAAGAAAATGTTAAGAAAAAAGAGGAAAGAGCTTTCTTATATAAGTACATTTATAAAAAAGACTTATTCTTTTTAATAGCAGTTCACTTTCGAATACACGTGGTTAAGCACGCTTAAAACAAAAGAATAGTCTTAAATAGAAAATAAGAAATAGCCGTGTAAGCTTAAACAAATGAAAAACAATTAAACAATAAAAACAATCTGTATAAGACAAGTGAATAGCTAATAAGGTGAAAGGAACAAGAAAAGAATAGAGAATATAATAAAAAGCAAGTCTAAAGGTAAGAGAACAAACGTAAGAAATACCCTTCCTTACCAATAATAAAGAGAGTGATTATTAAAAGCACGTCTTTTTATAGAATAAGTGTAGAACAAAGAGAAGATAAGAAAGTAAGAAAAAACAAAATAAAAGAAACAGATTAAGAAACAATTTTATAAGCCAGTTTTTGTTCTTTCGAGAGTGTTAAAAGAATGATTTAGAAGTTAATAGACTTAGGTTTAAGGGTTACCTTTAAGTTGAGTGGTTTACTTTTGCCGTCGTCGGAAGGCTCGTATTCGCTAAGGTCCGAGTCGTCTAAAGAGCTCGAATTTTCTTCTTCTTCTTCTTCGTCGTCCTTATTAAAAGGAAAGAGGGTTTAGTTGCGGCGGTAGAATCGCTTAAAGCGGTTGGCTGCAAAAGTGCCTTTAAGCTTAGTCCTATCGGTTTCTTAAAGCTTATAATATCCTTTATCGTAAGCTTTAAAGACGATATAAAGTCTTAGCTATTTGTAGTCTAGCTTAGTGTCCGCGGATATATCGATGCTGCGTTTGATATCGTAAAGCAGTACTAAGTCTTTTTCTTTAATAGGTTTCGACTTCAAGACCTTGACTCGTTCTTAAGTGGCCTTAGCGGCAAGTCGATAGCGTTTCTTTTTTAAGATAATCTCGTCGATATTTTTATCTTGAAATTTTAATTGTTTAAACTTTATAACAAGCAAATCAGCGCGGGATCGAACCTCTTGCTAAAGTAATAATCTCTAGACTGGCTATCGTGACTTTAAAAGTAGCTTAGCTTTTTGTCCGTAGTTTAAAAAGAAAAGAGTGACTTTAATAAATGCGTGTATCGATGTCCGGACCGCAAAGAGCATCTTATTGAATTTGCGAACCTAATCCTTGAATCTTTCGTTTATGACTTTCGATAAGCTATTTAAAATGTCTTTATAGCTTCTTTTAATCATTTTATTAGCTTTTGAATTGTAATTTAAGATTTGGACCCTTTTGATCTCGTACTTGATAGCGAAAGCCTTAGCAATTGCTTTGTTTTTAAGTCTTTTATCGATAGTTAGTCTTTCGAATAATCTATAGCGGCAAACGATATCCTTTTAAAAGAACTTAGCAATAGATTCGGCGTTAGCCGATCGAAGTAGCCGCCTTTCCGGCTATTTAAATAAATCTTCTTTAGCTAATACGAAGCAGGTTATTCTTTTGTCGGTAATAAAAACTCGTAATACGTTTAAGCTGACTTTTGACCACATTTAAGTAAGCCAAGTCGGATACAAAAGGTTTTCTGTTCGTCTAGCTTTGCGCTTTTAACAAGGCTCATAGCTCTGGACGAAGGCCTTGCAGTCTTCGTAGTATCCATTCTAAAAGAAGAGTTTTGACGTACGGTAGTAAGTTGATTTAGCTCTTTTATATCCGGATTCTCGATAAGCGTCGGAAATAGCAGTATAGCGTTTTTAAGTTCCGTCGATAACTAGCTTAATCGAGTAAGAATTATCTGCTCGCTTATAAAAGTAACTATCTTTAATTAAGTAGTTGAGTGCTTTATTCTTGAATTTCTAAAAGTCGTAAGTTTTAATCGAAAGAGAGCGTTTGAAAGTAATAAGGAATTAAGCAATAAGCTCGGAGTCGAGCGAGTAATCGTGCTTTAAAACTCTTTTTTTAGCTCGTGAATTATAGTTCACGAGTCGTTTAACCGAGAATACTAAAACAATGCTTAGCTCGTTAGTAACCTAATCGTTAATATCTTTTTCTTCTCTCTTTTTAATATTTAAAAGATGCTCTTTTCTTTTTTTAAAGAGACCGTCCGCCGCTATGTTTTTAGTCTTAAAAATATGCTTGACTTTAAAGTTTATCAATCTTATCTACGCAATCTAGTTCGTAACGAAAGCTTTAAGCAAGTCGCTTGTTAATCCGTTGAGTTGATCAATTAATACTTTAGCGTCGGTTTCTAAGATGAAGTGAACCTCGTATAATTCGCTTTTCATCTTTTTTATAGCTTTTAAAGCACCGCGGCATTTTCGCTTAATCGCGTTATACTTGCTCTTCGCAAGGTTTTAAAAACCACTTTCGAACTTGGCCGGATGTCGCTTCTTATCGAAATCCTTTTGCTGCAATACTGCTCTTTATCCCTTGAGACTAGCGTCTATCGTTAAGTAGATCTTCTTTCCTTCCTTGTTATAATCGATCTTAATAAGAGCGGGGGCAAAGAGCAAGGCTTCTTTGAACAGCCTCATCGCTTCTTGCTAAAGCTCCAACCACTCGAATTCGATCTCCTTTCTTATAATCGCGTAGATTAAGGCAGCAATTATAAAAAAGTTTTTAATTTAGATTCTGTAATAAACCACGATCTTAATAAAGGCTCGGGCCTCCGATACATCTTCGCATCTAGTCTATTCTAATATCTTTTTAATTTTGACGGTCTAAGGGTAGCGTCCTTCGCTATCCGTGACGAATCCAACGATATTAAGGCCAAGCATACAATATTAAGACTTAGTTCCGACGGTCGTTTTAGCTCTTTTAAACCTTACGAGCACCTTATCGATATTTTAGATATGCTTTAAGACGAATCGTCGAATTCCGAGCAAAACTTTCTCGTAGTTATAAAAAGATCGCGATCCTTTGACTTTTACGTCATCTATATAAAGCAAGCAAACGTTAAGAATGCAGTCTATAAAGATCTTGTAGATGACCTTGACGAATTGGGCGATCGAATTGATAGCTTTTATAAGTATCCGAGTTATCCGGAGCAGTTCGATAAGCGTTTAAATAACTGTTATGTTTTTAAACTTAACGTCGAAGAAGAATTAATCGTATTTAAAAAAGAAGTTTAAAAGTGTAGCTATCGTAAGACCGGCAAATTCGTTTAAGAACTAGTTTACGTTCGAGGCAATATTAACGTCTTTGACCGTTATACGGTTTATTTTAATTACAATAATGATCAGCTTGTATTTTCTTTTCTCTTTCTTTGCTATAATAAACCATTTGTTCCGGTAAAGGCTTTAGCATAGTTCGAGAACCCTTTGCTTTAACCGTTCTTTTAATATAAAGATGACCATCTTTTGCAAAGCTTTCGGTACCGTAAACGTTTTCTTTTACTAAGCTTCGTAAAGCACCGTCTTGATCTTTTAAAGTGGCATGACTTCTTTTCGAACTTGGCTAAGATAAGTAAAATCTTAGGCTATCGCTTCCTTTCGATTCAAAAGGCATTAGTAAAGCAGCTCTTTCTCTTTCGAAGTAACTTAAAAGCCAATCGTAAGTGCTTCGAATCGTTCTTTCGTTAATCTTAATCTAACTTTTAAGTTTGAAAACCTGCTAATAAAGTATTCTGAAAAGAGTCTTTTAAGTCTAAAAGGTCTCGCCTTTTCATTTTGCTCAAACTAATCGTCGATCCTTTTAAGTATCTTTCTATCCGATACTCTTAAATCTATCGGTCTGACCTTTTCCGCCTTCTTCTTGTACATCGTATTAACCTTTACCATATTCCTTTTTAAAAGGTTTTTGTCGTT